TCTGAACCAAAGTTTTGAGCATTTCGGTACACGTCAACAAGGCGTATCTGAAAGTATCTCACATATTCATGGTCCTACTAGCCTTTTTAGTAATTAGCATAACGTCTCGCACATCTAATCACAGCTTGACTTCAATCGATATGAGAAGTCCTACCTGAGCACCCAGTGTGATTATTAGCGAAAGAACAGTGACGCATCATGGAAGTACAGGGAACTGGAGAAAAATGAAGACTTGGTGTGGAGAAACCTGTAGTAGCCTCAGTTGATAGTGAGCCGGGAGGGTTGCGTAGACACAGCTGGTTCAAGTCCTGTAACCAAATAGGTTTTCATTTCACAATCAAACACCATCACCCAGTAGCAATGAGTTTGAACAGATTTGGTTTATTAGCTTTGCTTTTATGCTGTATCAAGGATGTGGTAGCGAAAACTGTGTATCTGTGTTGCTTCAAGAACTAGTCAGTCGAGCTCGCGTTCTTTTTCTTTCTTAAATGACGAAATCTACAGATCAGAGTGAGTGATTTTTAACTACTCAAGTTGTTCAGTAGTGGTATATTTCACTACTCTATGAAACTTTTCTGATAGAGATACTACCTTGTGATGTCGGCTGATGAGTGGTTTCCAATGGGAAGGCTACTGACATCCGAGTTGGGTAGTTAAAAATCTACTCAACTGTGAGAAATGTCAACGTGTTCCGTGCAATTTGTAAATCATTTGGAAACTGGTAATTCAGGTCATGCTTGTCAGCTAGCCAGATTCATTCCGGTGATCTGCACTAATTCAGCTCTTTGATCTGAATTTGTCAAAATACACCATAGGCGATTATGGGCCCAGAAGAGCGAGACGGTCATTTGTTGATTAGATTACTCTAATCTGGCTGGCTGGCTGGCTGGCTGGCTGGCTGGCTGGCTGGCTGGCTGGCTGGCTGGCTGGCTGGCTGGCTGGCTGGCTGGCTGGCTGGCTGGCTGGCTGGCTGGCTGGCTGGCTGGCTGGCTGGCTGGCTGGCTGGCTGGCTGGCTGGCTGGCTGGCTGGCTGGCTGGCTGGCTGGCTGGCTGGCTGGCTGGCTGGCTGGCTGGCTGGCTGGCTGGCTGGCTGGCTGGCTGGCTGGCTGGCTGGCTGGCTGGCTGGCTGGTTATATTCTGTTGGTCAGGAAAGGTAGTTTTAGGCAAAATTGCCATTTAGTTTACTGGGCTCTAGATTTCGAGTATTCGTCAATAGTAAAGACTTTATCTGTGTTTTTTTCTGATGTCAATATCTATCGCTTATTGATACTAGTAATTTCTCTTTGGGTACTATGCTGGATCGCACTGATCGATTTTGTTTAGCATATAAACTCCTGGGTGGATGCCTGAAGTTTTTCTATATTATTCATTATGATTTATTTTCTTCAGAGTTCACTAGAAGTGGCATCTGAGATACACATTTTTCTCTGTTTCCAACTCATGAGCTGGATATATCTGTCTCACAATGAATGATGGCATTCTCCCTGAGACTTGAAATCAGAGATGAACATCACTTTGAAATGAATCAATCTCCACAAGCCACCAGTTGAATTATTCAGATTTGTGCGTATTGTGTGAGCATTATTTCCATTAACTGGGTGCTGAAACGTTTTTAGCTCAAGAGATGTTTAAAATTTTAGTGGTAATTGTCAGAACAAGTATTCACTGATGTCTGATTGTGTGTCCAGTCAGAAGACTAACCTGTTTACAAAATACCATGTAATACAGAACAGATATCATTAAGTGTCTTAAAAGTCATAGGCTAGATATGCAACTATGACTCAGGAAAGGAGTGACTCCAAAGGATCATCCTTATAACACCAGCAACAGCAACAATTGAAATAACCAATAAGACTCCTTGATTCCATGAAAATCAGTCTTTCCAACCGAAATAAACAAATCCAATTGACTGTTTCAGTCGTCGCTAAGGTAACCTTGACAGTCATTTTAATAAAAGTCTTTTAAGTCCCTTCTTCATGAGCAAAAGATGACACAGATTGTTCTTCTGAACTCAACTTCTAAATATGTTTCTCCTGGAGAGACTAAAAGATGCACTGGATTCAAAACTACGTTCAGAACAGGCTGGCTGGCTGGGTTCAGCAAGTACAAATCATGTGCAGACCAAATTGCAACACTACACTACACATCATCATAGAACAGAGTATAGAATGGCAGTTGACTCTCTACCTCAACTTCATAGACTTTGAGAAGGCCTTTGACAACGTCGACCAAGAGGTAATTTGGAAACTGCTTCAATACTACGGAATATCGCAGTCCTTTATCAGCCTCATTCGACAACTATATGAAGACGCCACATGCTAAGTAATTCACAATGGGGAGCTCAGTGATGCTTCACTGTATGGCTGAGAGACTTGGTGCATCACGAAAAGCATTTCCAACAAATTACAGACATTCATCAACAGCTGCCACCTATGCTCACTCGATACTGAAGATCAATCAGATCAGATGGTCAGATGGTCAGAATAATAAAAATAAGCAACAAGGAACTCTGGCTGACAACGAACCAACGAAGCAAGAATCTATCGCTCAACAAATATGTACTGGAAGGAAGTGGAGATGGATTGGGTCGGACATACACTGAGAAGGCCGACTGTGGACGTCACGTGCCTGATCAGGCCGTGTAGTGGAATCCAAAGGGGAAATGACGAGTTGGTCGTCCGAGGTGAGGGTGACATGGAGGAGATCATGCGAGGAAGACATGAAAGCTTATGGGCAGTTGTGAAGCCAGGTTTTGAAGACTGGAGAGAACAAAGTGCAATGCGGGTGTGCTACTGAAACTGTATGTTCCACCAGGAACTCAAGGGAAAAATAAATAATAGTAATTATAAAGTCCCCAAACCATACCGCTTAGTATGTATTTCTTCCGAAATGATTTTTGTTTTGTTTTTGAATTGATAATTATCAACATTGTTACTATATTTTCAGAAATGTATAGAGTTTAAAGCCTAGATAAATTAGCACACACCATGTGTCATTAATTTAGTATTGTGCTTAAGATAGTCCTAAGTGAACAGCCAGTATGAATACCTGATTATCTCGTGATTTCAGTTATCGTATTACTGAACCTGATACATAATAAAAGTTATGCAGGTAAAAGTCAGTAAGGACTGTGCTAAGGATGCTTACAATAAGGAACACCCTGAATACACAGGTATGTAAATTCATTTAAAGCTATTTCGAATAGTAAAATAAGCAAAGAAAGTAGTATTTGAATGAAAAACACTGAGATTTCACCGTTGTCTGTGTTATTGGAGGGGCATTTTTAAGTAAATTTACGATTACAGTCGTCTAATATCCAAGTCAATATCATTTTAACCCCTAATTGCCATCTAGGAGTGAAATTGTGATTAACTTAATTTTAAATCATAGAATCTTCCATCTCAAAGCTTTTCATCCCAAAATATTCAAAGGAAGATGCCTAGAAAGACAAATGTTACAACATTGACTGGTCACTGGAAGGTAACCAATTTCATGTTCCCTAGCCATGATGGCTGACCGAATTCCACCGATCATTTTACAATATGATCACTAAGCTAGAAGGCTCACCATCGTGGTGCCCTTCTGATGGATGCCAGTTGGTTGGAGATGATCGTCAACAACCTCTCCTCGACCTATCTTTCGTACTTGTTGGCACTCTTCAACAAGGCGTATCTGCAGCCTCGATGGAACTGATATCCCCTCTGAAATCCAAATGATGAAGAATGTATCGAGCTTGTATTGTTGTTGGTCAGTGTTTAAACTGAATGAAGACATTGTGAATTATTCAAGTGTTGTTCTGATGACATGTGAATCGATTATCAGTGGTTAATCGTTATGGCAGACAGTAGTCTGCGCTGTAGCTAATAGGCTAAGTTACGCAACACTGGGAGCACTATATTTTGATGTTGGAAGCTTTGCTCCGTCCACGTTTCATACCTTTTGGCTCTCATCAACGGCGCGTATCTCCGACCATACGGAAACTGATCATCTCCCAGTGATAAGAACCAGTGCCACTCACTGCCAACATGAGAAAAATTACCACTAGGCAACTGAAACATCAACTGACTAACTCTTTGAAACAGTCGATCAAGTACACGGATATCCCAGGAATATCATGCATGAAACTCTGAGTCACACGATAAATTCTTCTATCCACAGTTGACCTTTATTTGTGCACTCAAGTATACACGTTAAATGCCTTACACCGAACTGCCAAGCCTTATAAGTCATAGTTTTTTTCTGTTTCGTTTTTTCTTCCTCAAAGAATTAACCAATCATAATTGAAATCAAAACTTATCCAGCGATATGGTATAACCATCACATAAAAATCCTCTTTTTAAAGGATGAATCAAGAAATTTCACGGTTGCTGCAGTATGACAATTTTACAGTGTGTTATCCTCTGATCTAGGCTTTCAGTTGCAAACCTTTCAATGTCGTACTGGACATCATTATCATGAGAACTTCATGAAGAGCTCTGATGCCCTGATGATGGAGTCCAGCATGATACTGAAACGTTTTCCAACTAAAAGCCTACTTCAAAGAACAACTCGATCTGAACTGTCACGCTTTGAGTTACAAACACTAGCCATGATGAGAAGGTTGTTGTATGGTTAGATGATTCACAGAGAATATCTCTTTTCAGTGGTTTCATGTTATAACTGTCACTGTCGACGAAATAATCTTCGGTTTCAACTCCTTAAAAAAACCTGGGAGTAAATACTATAATCAAAGTAACTATAATAATGAAAATATATGAAATATTATTTTATTAAAAATGATTGGGATTTTCTGTACTTTCTTCCATTTTTTTTAAAATAAATCCAAATGAATAACAATTTTACAGAAAATAAAGCCAATGTTAATGAGATAAATCACAGTCACATATGAGTAATTGAATGATATGTTGTTAAATGTTCAATGATTATTTTGTTTACTGATTTGTCCTCAAGGTTAAATATAGAGTACTTCAGTCAATTTTTTTCGTTTGAATTAGAGATGATTATGCACCAACAAGTGCTAATAATACAGATCGATAATCTCCGCTTGTATCACTCTAAAATTGAAATAAAAACATAAAGACTGAATATTTACAAGAATGAAAACAAATTAATAATACAAAGACAGAGAAGGTTACTTTCTCTAGTTGACTTAACATGCATAGACGAAAAATTACTAGTGAATTGTCAATGTATAATAAATAAAAGGCAGCTACAGTGAATTCAATGTTCAATATATATATATATATATATATATATATATATATATATATATATATATATATATATATATATATAGACCAACGGGGTTGTCATTGGATCACCGATACCTCCTATCATCAAAAACATACTCGTGGATAGTTAGGAATGGATGATCCTTCAAACATCTAGTCCTACTCCAAAGATATGGTTCAGATATGTAGATGATAAGTATACAGTATTGAAATCGGAACACATCAATAGGTTCTTGGCATATTTAAATGCAGACATTCATCAACAACTGCTTACGCTGGCTCGCTACTGAAGATCAGATGGCCAGAATGAATAAGCAACAAGGTGCTCTGGGAACGAACCAACGAAGCAAGAACCTATCACCCAACAAATATGCAGAAGAGAGTAGAGATGGATTGGGCATGCACTGAGAAGGCCGACTGGGGACATCACGCGTCAGGCCAGGCACTCGAGTGGAATCCCCATGGGAAGCGACGAGTTGGTCGTCCGAGGGTGACATGGAGGAGGTCGTGCGAGGAAGAAACGAGAGCTTCTGGGCTGTCGTGGAGCCAGGTTCAAAAGATCTCAGAGAACAGAGGTCACTGTAGACGTGCTACTGAAGCCCTATGTTCCACTAGAAACCCAAGGGACTAATAATAAAATAATAATAATGAACACAATCCAACTTGTCTACAACTTAGAAAGTGATGAAGATGAGCCGGCAATGTTGAACTGCAAAATAAATGAAAGCAAGATGGAAGTCTACAACCTAGTGTCTATAAGAAACCTTCCCATTCCAAACGCTACTTAGACTTCAAATCATCTCACCCCATCTCAGCTAAAGTAGACTTATTTAAATGCTTAACTGATAGGGCAAAAAGCTTATTGATAGTACAGAGAATCTGAGACAAGAAATTAGACACATCAAGAATACCCTGCGTCTCAGTAGTTACCTGCCTAAGTTTATCAGCTGGTTCATAAAAAGTAGAAAGAAAAATCAGAGCAGTAGTAATAATAATTATACTACTAACGGTAGTAATAATATGGAGACACGGTGGGAGAGAAAATTGAGGGTCTCTAATGTGTTACTACACATGGAGAAGGCAACTCGGAAGTGTTTACATAAATTCCCAATAAGGCTACGAAGCGGCCTTTAAATCAACAAACTTTGTAGGTTAAAAGATCCTAACGATTCAATCAGTCAAAATAATTCGGTGTACCGAGCCCCGAGCAATGAATGCATGGTTAAATACATTAGTCAAAGTAGTTGACCAGAGTCGATTAAAATAACACGGCACAAAACCCTAGCTAAATCAAGATTAGTAGATCCTAATAAGATAATCAGGAATTTAGAGTGAACATCAGCTATAACTCTGCACGTAATCACTCGCGATCATACAATATGGTGAGATAGGGCGACAGTATTAAAACCTAACTCAGTCGGATGGAGGGAGAGATTGATAGCCGTATCCTTGTTTATCGAATTAACACCGATCAATTCGGTCCAACTAACGATGTTATCATATAAATACCCTTATACTAAAAACTATACCAGTCGCACAAGAAGTGGCTATCGTGGCTCTGTGGTGTAGTGGATAGAGCTCTGGCGTTTGGAGCGATCTCTCCCAGGCCCGAATCCCGGTGGTAACAACATCAGTCACTGGGAAGCAGGTACATCCTACTGACGAGTGCTAAATAGGACGAAGTGCGCATTCTGGATTCCACTGCTAGCCACGATCCATCATTAACATAATTGGATTGCAGGCAATATCGAGGCATCCGCACAGGAGCCCATATGCTAAGAGACCGATCAATTCGGTCCAATCAACGACGGTATCATATAAAAACCCTTATACAAACTCTGTCTCAAATTTGTGGAGTTACCTGCCGATATGAATATGGACAATAAATTGTATCCGAAAAGTTATCCCCTATATAATACTGTTTCACTGTGTGACGATTCTAATAAAAATGGAAGTTCTTCTTTAAGTGAGTTATTTGCATACTGATGATAAAAAGAAAAGAAGATATTTAAGCCTACTACAGTGGGTCTTAATATGTGACTGGCAGATGTTCAAGGGTTATTGACATTCGACTACAGTCGTATTCAAAGCCTCCTACTCAGCTCGTTGGAGGGATCATTAGGTGAACAAAGTAAGAGTAAACGGTAAATCACAGGATAAAAAGGGTGATCTATTATTACTGGTTATTATCTGTCCTTTGGTTCTTAGTGGAACATACAGCTTCAGTAGCACGCCTCCATTCCACTCTGTTCTCTCCAGTCTTCAAAACCTGGCTCCACAACTGCCCACAATTCTTCATTTCTTCCTCACACTATGTCCTCCATAACACCCTCAACTGGGACGCCCAACTCGTCGTTTCCCATCTGGCTTCCACTCGACGACCTGGCCTTGTGTGGCGCATGATGTGCCCAAACGGTCTTCTCATTCTATGTCCAATCCATCTCCACTTTCTCCTGCATATTTGTTGGACGATAGGTTCCTGTCTGGTTCTTTCTCAGCCAGCCAGAGTTCCTCCTTGTTTATTCTTATTATTCTGGCCATCTGATCTGATATTCACTATGGAGTGAGCGAGTGTAGGTGGCAGCTATTGATGTTGTATGTCTGTAGTTTGTTGGAAATGCTTTTCGTAATGCGCCAAGTCTCTCAACCATCACATGGAAGCACTGACCTACTTAGTGTCAAAAATCCAGATCTTGTTCTTTATGCTGAGTACAGTGTAATGGAGTGTAGTAGATCTCCACACTGATTACGGATTAATGCAGGAAAACCTGTTTTGTTGTCTTTCCGATTCTGCCTTTCATATCCTCATCTGTACCGCCGCAACCAACTGTAGTTGAAAGGGTACTACCTAGTGGGTAGGTAGGTGAAAGAGACAACTTCGTTTAGACTTCTCTCCTTGATGGTGATTGGTGTTTGCTGTTGTAGGTTGGGTATCTTCATCACCTCTGTCTTCTCTACGTTCACCTGAATCGAGTTCCGTGTTCGCTTCCCTGCCTCTTTTTTCAACTTGTTGGTTTTTCCCTTTAGATCTTCGAGTTTGTGCGACATTAGACATAAATAATCATTATTTGACTATCTGAGATAGCCGTAATTTGGCGGACTTGTATTTATACTGGGTGATGATTGAAGGTGAGATGAAAATCCGGTTGCGGTATAGATTTTCATGTCACCTTCAATCATCACCGAGTATAAACACAAATCATCGGCGAAATTCAAATTTTCTAGGGTCTCTTCATTGATCAAACAGCGTATGCCCCTCTTCTCCCTCCCCTTACGGTTTGCTGCATGATACAGTCCAGTCGACCACAATCAGGAAGATCATCGGTGATGATAGTAGGCGGCAACCTTGTCTTACTCGTGTCTTCACTTCAAAGGCATCACTAGGCTTTCCATTGTGAATCACTTGGCATGTGGCATCTTCGTATAGTTGTTGAATGAGGTTGATACAGGTTTGTAGCACTAAAACCGTAGTGTTGAAACAGTTTCCAAATTACTTCTCGATCGACGCTATCGAAGCAAAGTCTTTTCAAAATCGATGAAGTTGAGGTAAGGTAGAGAGTTGACTGCCATTCTATGCTTTGTTCTATGATGATGCGTACCGTTGCAATTCGCTCCGCACATGATTTGTACTTCCTGAATCCAGCCAGCCTGTTCCGAACGTAATTTTGAATACAGAGCATTTCTTAGTCTCTCCAGTATGATGCGACTTAATATTTCGATTGCTCCGGGTGGACAGGAGCATGATTCCGCACCAGTTCTTGCGAAGACTTAGGTTGCCCTTCTTCCAGTCGACCAGCAAGTAACTTTCCTGCCTTCCTTCTAACCCTTCTGCAACAGTGGTGTGAGCATGTCCACTGTTGTCTATGTGTCTGTTTTCAGTGCTTCTGGCGAAATTCCATCTAGTCATGCCGCTTTCCCGGATTTCAACAACCTTGTGGCGTTCAAGACTTTGACGGAGGATTTGTGTTCACTGGTAGTTCTGTGGCTTGGTTGCTGGTGGTATTTCTTGGCAAGTTGCAGATGATGGTCGATTCAAGAGTTTTTGTTTTTGAGCAGACTATAACATGAACGAATCTCCAGGCAGTATCAAGGAATCCGCATAAGAGCCAAACTACTAAACGAGGTAGAGTAGTTTGACCTTGTAGAGCAACGGGAAATCACAAATATCAATAAAGATACTATAGGATACTCCTTAAATTACTAACAAAGTTATGGAGCTGTTTATTTTTAACTATGAAATAAATAAACAAATATGAAACGGATGACATCATAGAAGAAACTGATAGTGAAAAGAAATTTGTTAACCATTAGAACCAATGATTAAACAACGTCAGTTTACTAGTTCCATAACGTCAATAAACTTCATATTGACTAAACAAACAAAGACATTAAATAACCATTAAACATCATGATAAACTTCTAGAAATGTTTAGAAGTAGCATTCATCATGGACCGACATCAGTTGGGGAACAATTGGAAATCTAGGAGCACTGGACAGCTGTTTCGTCCTAGTATGGGACTCCTCAGCAGTACGCACCCACAACCCTGCTAGGGGTTGAACTCAGGACCTTCAGGTTTCACGGCGAAACGCGTTAACCATTCAGCCACTGGGTCGGTTTCAAATGGTTCACAATTTCAAACTTCTGTCAATTCATGTCAAAAATACATTTTAAAAATATGTTTCTGAATAATAATGTTAAAACAAACCATGTTGTGCTTAAAATCATAAAAACTGAATTCTTATAACGATGTAATCTTGACTTTTTACTTAGTGTTATGATTACATGCTCATAAAAAAGAAAGCAGGATTAATTACTTCCAAGCTTGATTGGCATACAATCACCTATCTATCTAAGAATAAACAATTAAAAACGTTAAATAAAAACAAATGAAGTTGATTAATTATTCAACTGTTTAAACTGTCATTCGGACCATGTGATAAACTTAAGTCTAAGGTATCCTACTGATCCCCTTCATCCAACTACAATTTACCAGAGTCTACCACGGTTGTGAGCTCTTTAGCTTAGTAGTCACGTTGCAAAAGATAGATAGTATATGGTCAGCATTTAGTACCAGACAATATGAAATTCACTGGTCACTAATAACCAATCAGTACATCTAAAAACGAGTGATTCAGTAGGTCAGTCGCTGCTCAAACGGCTAGGTGATAACGCCAGTTATTACATTGCTGAATGACGCGCGTTCGCATCTCAAATAGGAGACACCAGTTTTTGAAATGATGGAGAACATTTGTAGCTCACGTGGATGGTCTTAGTTGTATTGTGTTCTCTCAGCTGGGTTGTTTAGTCCTGGAGCTTTCATCGTCTTTCTAGACAACATTACCATCATTAACTTAAGCATGAAGTGACCAGTTAATATCTCTCCACGAGTGACTTAGTAGCTTGCCCTGACCAACTGGTTCGTAATTGGTTGTTTCCTTTGATTGTTGTGTCATTGACTGCACAGATTTTCCTGTTCATTGTGTATCATAATTAAAAAAGATGATACAGAAAACACTCACAGTTTGATCAACAACGTTTTCAATGATATCAAATTCACAATGGAGAAAGAGTCAAACAACCAACTTCCATTCCTGGATGTTCTAGTCAGTAGGTCAAATGCCGGAAAGCTGGAAACCGCCTTGTACAGAAAGCCAATACACAGTAACTGATCAAATCCTCAACTACATTAGCAACAACCCAACAACGCACAAAACTAGTTGCATGCAGACTCGATTCAGAAGAGCAAGAACACACTGGAGTACAATAACTTCATGGAGAAACGAAAAAAATTACTTCATATCCATCTTAAAGAAGAACAGCTATCCACGAAACTTTATCGGAAGATGCTTATCCCGTACATCATCAACTACAAAGCCAATGACACAAATCAACAAACGCTTCATCCTACCGCACATAAAGAACATATCACAAATCATGACAAGATTACTGAGACCACATGGAATTGGTGTGACCCCTCATAAACCAATAGATTCCCTCAAAATCCTACTATGCACACCAAAGAATGCAACAAGCAAAGAAGACAAACCGAATATCATTTACAAAATCAACTGCAATAACTATAGTCAACACTACATTGGACAAAGTGGTCACCCTCTTCACCTTCATCTACATGAACACTAATTGGCTATTAAACGGCACACACGACATTTCATCACTCATCGCTTAATGCACGTGGATAACAACTATGGAGATGAATTCAATTTTGACAATGTTGAAATATTGGACAGAAAGAGGAAACGCAAAGAACATCAGGGAATTCCTAGAAGCTTGGCACTCAAGTCAGTCAGTCAGTCAGTCAGCAATCAATAGATGTATAGACATAGACCCAATCTATCAACCGATGAGAAAATGATTAACGACAGAAAGGTGAGAGGTGAAGCAGAGGAATAGCGAACAGGAAAATCTGTGCAGTCAATGACACAACAATCAAAGGAAACAACCAGTCACAAACCAATTTGTCACTCGCGGAGAGATATTAAAAGGTCACTTCATGCTTAAGTTAATGATGGTAATGTTGTCTAGAAAGACGATGAAAGCTCCACCATTAAACAACCCAGCTGAGAGAACACAGTACAACTAAGACACCAGTTTCCTCTAGATTGCAGAGAAGCCAAGCTGACGAGTGACAGCAATCGAGCATAATCTTCATCTTAATCGTTACATCGCATTTCATTTTTGTTTCACCCACTTTGTTTCACTTTTTATGACTTTCTTCTACTTTTGGCCGTGGCCAGACCAGGAGGTGGCAATTGTCAGTGTAGTCCCTGCCTCTTTATGTGAGACCTGTGGAGAGATGTAGACTAATTGACTGGGGTCCTGGAAACGATAGAAATCAATGGTTGAGGACTGTTGGTAACATGGATGAAAATAAGTCACAATGTCGCAGATGTTTTCACTCATTGACATCTTGTAAAGCTTGAACATTTACGTTAACCTTCATTTTCAAATTTCTTTTCCTCCACTCATACACCTTTATCTACTATGATATCATTCTTATTCTATCCACCAGTGTTCTTTGTATACAACTATGAAGTGTGGCATCTTGAACGGATGAACTTATGCGTGAGGTTCTACGTTGATTATGTCAGTCTATCTATCTGTCTATCACTACTTCTGGCTACTGACTACTGGTCACTTTGATACACTGACGTGATACGTGAGAAGTTGTACAGTTGAGCAGTCATCCTAGATCTCATGTCGACACTGACTGGCTGCTACGTTTTTGTTTCTATTTAAGTATACTTGGATCAATCTGAAAAATAAGAACTCCAGATATTTACATTGATTTACTTAACAGAGTTGAGTATACTGTGAGTTAGTTTAGTTTATATGAATAAAAATTTTAACCCAATCGAATGTATATACTTACAGCTATCCATGATTCCAGAGTTTTTCCCGTTATCGCATGAAATTCTGTCTTTATTCGACCCATATCAATAGCACTACGTGAAACAACAATACGAATTAATGTTGAATCATCAGTTCCAGCTCCTTTCATAGAACTTTTCAATTTTTCAGCAAAATATTTTGGTTTGTTTTCAATACATCTCACTAAAAACAATAACAGTGAATAGAAAATAAAATGGAGGCAGAAGAATGAAGCAAAAACACTAATACAATTTCAGATTGACACAGCTACAGAAAGGCAGCCAATAGGGGGAGTTTTCAAGTCGTGATCAGATCATGTTCAGGTCATGATTTATGCTTGCGCTGACATGAGGACCTTATTGGAGAAATTCGACCTCATACAAGAAATCTGATTGGTTCATTTATGGCTTCACTTTCTGAGTTTTGTAACTACATATATGTCATGTATTTGCCCAAGGTACCGGGGGAGGTCAGTCGTGAAGGTATTCGGTTGAGGTGTCTATCAAGTCTCAGTACCAATTATACCCACGCGTGCAACTCAACCACACAGTCACAACACAGATGTTTTAAGTTTTTCAATTATCCATTGAAAAGAAGCTAGAGGAATGAAGTTCACATTGTTAGACTACTTAAAATTCTTCACGGAGTATTGAGAAAGTGGGTAAAATAAATTAATTTGTGAATTTTTAAAGATATTCGCATAACTACTTCTAAGAGATAGGTTTTTCGATGCAACAGCACTATAAATGATGCCTAGGCTAATGCTCAAGACACTTCAAGGTCATGGAGTAATAAACCAATTGGGAAGCACATACGGTCCACCTTGATATTTTGCACATTTGAGCAGCTTTTTCAGCTGGCCAACTGTGGTTTTCAAGTCAACTGTGGCCAACAGGGTTTTCATTAGAAACCACTCGTCAGTCAACATCATGAACTATCGTAAGTTACTAACACTGAAAAAATGAGTAGTCAAGATCCACTCACATCCACCTATAGATTTCACTAGTCAAACGCGAGTGATAATGAAACTGTGACCAGACAAATTTAGCTCACTCACCTGTGTGGGTGGGTCTCAACTACTCAATTTTTCCAGTAGTATATTTCAGAAAAAAACTTGTCGAGCTGAAATTTCACTTCAAGTGACCTGATTTCTTTCAAGAAGATCCAGACTAACCTCTGAATTGATTTATTTCATCGATAACAATAATTATTAGTTGAAGAGGACTAGACGTTTGTCCGGCAAAGTTTTGAAAGGGTGTCTTTGGTTGTATACATAGATTTATGCTCAATTTTAATGATCTTAACTTCAACTGGAATGAAAGGGATTATTTCTCATATTATAATCTCGTAGTGTTTACTAATTTTGAGGGGTTTCTCGTTCACCAGCATTTCTCATGAAGGATGGATTTATAGACAAAATGTTCATACTGCATTATGCTTCATTATTAGGTCCAACACCCTAAAACCTAGTCACAACCTTTGTTTAAGCTTAGTAAGTCCTAACATTTAATCCCAAGTGAACATTAGGTGGTTCGATTTCATAAAATCCCATAGATGAGTGCCTTTATCATGTGTTCTTCATATCTAGACAGAAGAAAACGTAGATAAGTTCCTAAACATTGTAAAAAAAACGTATATCCACCACAATACCCTTTTTCATTTCTGTATTAGAAACTAAGAGGAGACGACTGTTTCCTTCTTGGTGCATTCAATATCACTTGGTAGACACTCAAGCACAGTTCACCATGTACATGAGAAAAAGGCAAGTGGAACTCACCAGCACTGAGTAAAGCTCGAAGTAAATCTCCACTCATTTCTGATTTCAATGCTTTTTCCATAGTTCTTCTACCAAGGCCGGTGTAATGTTTAAATACTGATCGTAGATGTGCATATGATCGAGAACAGATCACCTGAATGAATCTGAAGAAGAAGAAAATGGATACGAGAACTCTATGAGTTATTTAATAAATCAAAACATTGTTAAAGTTGTCATCCAACAGGTGTGGCTCATTGCCAACTGCACGAACGCGTACAATGTTGCTAACTGAATCCTACTTGATTTTCCGACAAGTGAAAGAAATCTCGGTGTACACCACCAATTTTGTTCACAGGTCTTTGAACAATCTTGTAGCGGCTGAATAGAGTTCTTCCAGTAAAGATTCTCAGGGACCAATATCATTTTTATCAATACTTATGCCCACGTAAATTTAGTTGGTTACTGTGGCAACTTCAAGTGTGTCAGCATGTACCTTTCAGTTAACTGGATGTGGTTAGGATTATGAGGGTTATTCACATAAAATTCAACAAATGCAGAGATTAGGCTTACATCATGCATGGAGGTCATAAACTTGACTGATTCAACTCTGTTGTATTAGCCGGGAAGTCGAAAATGCGGATCTCTAATAAGTGTCATCGGTCGTTATTATTTTATTGATTTTTACAGTCATTTTACTTATGACTTAACTTGTAACACAATTCTATAGCTCCGTCGGTTGAACTGTTACAGACTGACTTCTCATTCATTATTGTATGAATTATAATTCGGAAGTAATTCCATGTTGTGTGAAACGAACCCATTATTGTGCATTCTGTCATTTTTGGTACTTAAAATTGGGGTTGCTTCGTCTCCATAAATTGTGGCGCATAGTGGTCAGGCAGGTAATTTAGTTGTACATGAACAGATCAAGCAGATCGCTGGAGGCGTATGGATATATGCATTACGTTTTGTGTTGGGTTGTTCAAGGTTGACAGGGCTCAACTGTGTGGTTCATCGTGTGGGTGGGTGAAATGAGCATACGCGACTGAGCAGCTATATTCCAGACCAATGACGTTCAAGGTCAGAGTTAGGACTGCATAAGCCGGATCACGTGCTTGTCATTTGCAGCGAGACAGTTATAAAGGGGCCTTAACTAAGCAGTCAATTGAAAGGTTGCAATACATCAAACATTTCGACCACTTTTCAGGCCAATAAAATGAGTCATCTCTTAGAATAAAGAAGTCAACCGGTAGGGAACCGAGTGCAATCTGGGTTTTGCATATAAGCCTGTGTGCAGCTTTCAAGAAGCTTATGTTCCTCAGGTGATACAACCGTGAATCACTCACTCAGTGCTGAAATGAAATACTTTGCCACCAGACCAATTAGATCATAAGTGATTGAATTGTGTTTATGACCTGGTTACCAAATTTTAACTAGTCTAACTATCCGGTTCCAAATGCTGACCATATTTTGCTCAAGATACACAATAAGCAAATTTCAAAACAGGATTGTTCACATTATATGTGCAGCAGTGACTGCTAGCAATGATTCTCAAACGTCAGACGAAGAATGAACTATGAGTGCGTGGAGGTGATAGTGTTAAAATAGTAAGAAGTAAGCACTTTAAATCCTATTATTAGTTAGCGCAACAATATCAGAGTGACTTTAAAAGCCATCCTAACACCCACCGAAACGACCAATTACGGGTATTCATTCAGGCTGAAAAGCTAGTGTTTTGGATGACTTTGAAGGTCACCCTAACAATTGGTCAGATGCTTAATCACATTTTCTTACCTTAGGAAAAATCACCTTACCAGATGAAATACCGAAAGCTGATTGGATATTCCAGCAGTTGCTAAAGTTACCTTCAACCTAGAAACTTTATTCTCTTGAAGTAACCGACTAGGCTTCGCTACTTTATGAAATTGCTTTTCTAGCCGAAATAAAGGAACATTATTGCCTATTTCGGGGTGGCCCTAAAGGTCACCCTAACAATAATTGAAACAACCAATTAGACTTCGTTATTTGCTTTTTTAGTCGAATGAAGAAACCTGATTGGTTATCTCGATTGCTTCTAGGGTGGCCTTGAAAGCCAACTCTATTTCAGTCGTTGCTAGGGTGGGATTAGGTGTTATAAACTCGCTTAGAGTGAGCAACAGATTCAAGTCTCAATTTCACTGCCTCATCTCTTCTGATTGTGCTGTCACTAAGGTCAACTCTAAAGTCTACCGTAGCAACAACCAAAATAACCAATCAAATTTCTCTAGTTTATGAAAACCTGCCTTTCCAGCCGAAATACAGAAACCTAATCGGTTATTTCAGTTGTTGCTAGGGTGGCCTCCAAATCACCCTCAAAAAGGAGTGACTTTAAAAGGCCAACCTAGCAATTGCTAAACTAGCCAATCAAATTTAAGAATTTCAACTAGGAGGGTAGTTTTTCCATAGAATAGAGGAACGTAATAGTTATCTCAGCAGCTGGGGCGACTTTAAAAGCCATCCTGGCAACTGTTGAAATAACTAATCAGGTTTCGGTATTCGGGTTATAAAGGTAGTTTTTCACAAAATAGAGAAATGCAATGGGTTATCTCAGCAGTTGTGTCAGACTGACCTTTGAAGTCGAGCAAAAATAGTCATTTTGTAAAAATAATAATAACCACTTCAGTAACGGATGCGTCATAAATAAATGTATTGTCTTTAAAAAATCGATAATTCAAGCCACATGACCCTCTTGCCAATCATCATAAGCTAAAATCCAGTTGGAATGTTGTTTACACAGTGGTTTTGTTTTTTATGTAGTGATAAAATTGTATTTTAATGTGAGATATACAAGCGTGTAGGCATAGAAATTAATGGTTTTCAACTTTTAGTTACATTCATATGTCATTCAATTGTATGTTTGACGTTTTTACAGTATAGTGTAAGTTTTAACCTATATCATGCTGTTAAAATTATGATTGACAAAAACTCAAAGGTGAATTTTCGCGAGTCTTGAAAGGAGAAATCACTGTAACAGCAAAACTATGAAAATTAATCCAGACACCTTCATGAAGACCTTCTAGTTAGTGAAATAGGCATCGAGTATTTGTTATTTATTCATGCCTCTAATCTCCTATTTTTATATGAAATCAAAGTGGTCGGTCTCAGATAGCATACAGGTTCATTTCTAGATGCCTCGATAACACTTGTAGATTCATTTTATTGTAATCTATTTGGTGGTGGCTAGCAGAGGAATTCAGATCACGAGTTTCTTGTCAAGGCATCTATCTGCACAGTAGCTAATATTCTAACAGACGTCAAGAAATTCAACTCAACGAGAAATTACAAGTATCAGTGAGTAACAATATTGATTCCTGTTGTACAAGTGGTGTTTGAATCCAAGGGCACTGAGTTCCAGCCTGAGTAAGAACAAAGTCACTCATCGGGATGTAAGTAGATCCAGCTGAAGAGTCCCAGATAAGACGAAATAAGCGTCTTGTAATGTTAGCCGCCATTAACAAGAAAATTATAATCAATCATTCCTTTGATAGTTAATATGAAATAATTTATAATTTCATAATTCATCTATGTTGTCACGTATACTTGAGAAAGTTGATTTATCCAGAGAGTTGAATTCTCAAAATCATACATGCAATCAGTTAAAAGAAAATGCCGAAAATTAAAGTATTGCACAGTGAGCGGGGGGGGATTACCTTTCTTTAAGAGAGACGTATGATAACTCTAACGGCTAGCAGAAAACCGCTATATATTCGAGTACAATTTAGAGGTGACGTGCTCAGTGAGATATTAATCCACAAAATTACCCTCACCAATTCACAGAACTCTTATTCTTAGTAAATTACAAATTACGTTTTCTATACGCCCAAAGATGAGACTGAGTTCGAAAGACCAATTGCTCAGATTGGCCACTTCCTCTTGTGTTTATCAGTTCAACTAACCCTGTCGAGGCACTGAAGTTGGCCCAAATGCTCTAGGAGTTTAATTTCCTCTACTCCTCAACATCCCTCACTACTGATAATTAAAGACGTGGTAAAGATCATTACCAGCTCCACATTAGCGCACTTAGCTCCAACGAACCATAGAATGGATATGAATGAGTCGTTCTCCATTCTGTACCGTCTTCCCATCAACTTGCCTAAAGGTACCCACCTCTGAATACTTCAAATTGGAAAGACAGCAGCAATCAGTATCAAATGATCTGAGTCATGTATTTGAAAGAAGCAAGTGTAGCCGTTGCAACTACCGACCCCTGATTCCGGAAGCACAAATTTCTTAGTATCCTACCCCAGGTAATCTAACTCCACACCGTAGATACCCTCTTCATTTCAATAATCCGAAATGATTTCACCACATTCTCTTAACCTATTCACTCCCTCAAAATGAGTAGTGTTCTATCATGCTATTCATTATTCTTCAAATTATCTTTCTTAGAACGTCGCCTAGTTAACTAGTTCACTAGTAGCCAGCCGGTTCCAAGCCCGTATAAAGAGGGAAGTTTGGGCATACGGCTAGCAACCCTACCCCGTAAAACCAATTCAATAGCTAAAGAAACTTCAAAGCACAAACAAAATATAAAAAATAAAAACAGAATTATTCCTTGCTGGAACCGGAGAGACGAAATGATGCCGGTTGGTGAAAGCCTTCGGGAAGTCAGTTGACCGATATGTCTTCTCTCGATGAAAGCCAAAGTAAGAATGGGGACATGGAATGTCCGCACCATGTTTGAACCTAGCAAGGCTGTCTAGATTCAGAAACTTGGTGCGTCACGAAAAGCATTTCCAACAAATTACAGACATACAACATCAATAGCTGCCACCTACACTCGCTCACTCGATACTGAATATCAGATCAGATGACCAGAATAATAAGAATAAACAAGGAGGAACTCTGGCTGGCTGAGAACGAACCAGACAGGAACCTATCGTCCAACAAATATGCAGGAGAAAGTGGAGATGGATTGGACATAGAATGAGAAGACCGTTTGGGCACATCATGCGCCACACAAGGCCAGGTCGTCGAGTGGAAGCCAGATGGGAAACGACGAGTTGGGCGTCCCAGTTGAGGGTGTTATGGAGGACATAGTGTGAGGAAGAAATGAAGAATTGTGGGCAGTTGTGGAGCCAGGTTTTGAAGACTGGAGAGAACAGAGTGGAATGGAGGCGTGCTACTGAAGCTGTATGTTCCACTAAGAACCAAAGGACAGATAATAATACTAATAATAATCTTTCTCAGTTTATTTCATCCAAGGCTTATAAACACCTTCCTATTGTTTTATTAAATTATCCCCCTATAGTACTATATAAGTCATATGATAGTTGTGAATGTGAATTCCTTTGAAATGAATCCCAGTAACAATTGATTCTATCATTAACGTTCACACAAGACTTTTCTGAATTGACTTGGTCAAGTGTATAATAATACTATTAAGAAACTGATAAGCGTAATTTATATATATATATATATATATATATATATATATATATATTTGAGATGAATGAGATTTTAATTTAAAAATAGCATTCATCATGGATTGATATCAGTTGGGGAACCATTGAAAATCTGGCTGTTTCATCGTAGTGTGGGACTCCTCAGCAGTACGCACCCACGACCCGGCCACGGATCGAACTCAGGGCTTTTAGGTTTCACAGCGAACGAGTTAACCATTCAGCCGCTGGGTCGGTTTCCAGGGATTGATAATTTCTAACTTCTGTTAATTCACGATATAGCGTGACTATCACCCAAGGTCTTCAGTTAGCATCCATTGAAAACCGACCCAGTAGCTGAATGGTTAACGCGTTCACCGTGAAACCTAGATGTCCTGCGTTCGATCCCTAGCCAGGTCGTGGGCGCTTACTGCTGACGAGCCCCATCCTAGGACGAAACAGCTGTCCAGTGCTCCCAGATTTTCAATGGTTCCCCAACTGATACCAGTCCATGACGAATACTACATTTATATTTTATAATTGTAGAACCTGATGAGAATATTCTTCGCTTATATTGTTTTTTATCAATGTCAGATGCTTAAAATCCTAGGATACAAAATAGCCTAGTAAAGTTTTCCAATTCACTTGTATCACTTTCATTCTTACTAATAGAAGATGAATAAAACACAAACATTCCGTAAACTTACTTAGACTCATCCGTTCCAAGTCTTTGTTCACCAGCTTTATACAATTCTTCTGCATCTCTGCGTGCGCGAGCTTCATCAACATGTGGATCTTCATCTCTACAACCTTGTACCAGTGCTACACAGACACGTTTGAAATAGCCAGATGTGTCATTTTTAATATCCTTCTCAAGGTCATGACCCGAATGCACTAATGTTCAATATTTAGAAAAAAAGTTAAGATTAGTATTATGCTTAGTTGATTATATAAAGTCTTTCTTCATTACATCAAGTTTAATTCATTCATAGGAGTCGGCCTAAATGGAAATCAGCATCTTTAGTCATCTGCCGCTAAGGTGGAAGGTTTCGTATTCCAATTTTTCTTTTATGTCACCGTGTAGTCTGGAAAATCCTTGTCGGACAATTCCTCCTACAGTTGACGAATCAAAATAAGCGATTTAACTTTTGACTTAGGGGTTTTATACGTTCATGAGACTGTACATAAACGAAGTATTTTTGTCGAATTAGATGCCTTCCTTACAGCTACAGGTTGGTCTTCGTTTTCTGATGTTTTCGTAACTCAGTAAAGTATGTAATTCATATCCAGTCCAAATGTCTCACTGCATTAGCATCGTTCGTTTAAACATGGAAACTGAAACGAAGTGACTGTAAAAGCTATTGTAGCAACCAATCAAGTTTCTTTATCCATAGAGGCAACTATTCTCCCAGGTGAAATAATAAGAATTGATTGGTTATTTCAACAGTTAGTAGGGTGACTTTTAAAGTCACTTTCGAAGTCTAATCGAAAATGAAAAGATGAAATTACTCATGAATAAGTATATTTTTTGCTTAAGTCTGATTTCAGTAGCCTTAATTAAAGTGTGAGGTGTGAACATTATCCAGACTTCGCAATTCAGTGGATAGGGTATCAGATCAATGATCTTAATAACACTACTTCATAACTGTCGAATGAATTACAGAGCATTGCCTAATCATAAAAAAATGTCTTCTTACTAGGTATTATCAACAAAATAAGATGATCAGTACTAGACAACTTATTTATTGACTGACTTTAAAGGTCATCATAACTGCTGAGATAGCCAAGTACATTTCTTTATTTTATGAAAAACGTGCCTTACCATTAGTTGGTAGGATGACCTTTAAAGTCACTTTTTATTTCTGGCCAAATGCCCTCGATATACAATTTCGAGAAGAAAAACAGTATGAGTAATCAATATAATCCAATATAATTCGAAAATCAAGTAGGCTAATTCAAACCGATCTTCCCAATAGCTGATCAGATTCACTACTAATAGGTGCCTGTTGTGTGTGTATGTGAGAGCAAAAACTACTGTCTGATTGGCCAGAACTTAAAGCGTGCTGACCAAAAGACTAATTGAAGGTTAAGTGAACTAGCCAATGAGACATTGTTTAAACTTTTTTAAATAACTACGTTCATTATGCACAAGAATCAACCGAATGTGACTGGATTATCTAAATACCGTTTGATGTGCATGTTCAAAGATTCACGTGATCTGATTAATTGGTCTTAATTTTAAACTTTTGCAGTTAATATAACAACAGGCAACTAGTCCCATGATTTAAATATACTTCAGGAAATTCAGATTTCTGACTGTAAGGTACTTGAAACAATTTTGACAAGATAATTAGAAGACGTAATTTGTCTGAATAGCTCAACGCATTTGCGAAACACATTTCGAAAAGCCTGATCACATACGCACATCTCACTGGGATTTATCCGTAAAATTACAGAGTTAAGGAGTAGAAGAACGATTATCAGTGAAATACGAAGATTATATTCAAGGTCAAAATAACAATGAAGATCAATAAAGCAACAACAATAAGGAATGAATAACCTTGAGTTCAAAACTGAATTTACCAAGGAAGGTTTAGTATCATGACAAGTTGTTTTTGAGCGCATATATGTGACTTAGACCTCCTAGTGGCTAATGCCTCAAAAATATATCCCAACAGGTCTTATAGAAGAGTTTAAATGACGTTTGCACATCTATTTTATGCCACATTCCAATGATATGTCTGGCTACTGAGGGGCTCCAACGTTTATTTCCAGCATCATTCAGGTTAGGCGACTCTATTTGTTTCTGAAGCCACTTTGGAATATGTTCTGTGACCTTTATATTTTCAATGACCGATGAGTCCTCCCCATGTGTATGAGACCGCAAATGCATTTAAATTAGAATGTGAATTCATCTTTCAGTTATTTCAAGGGCTTCAATGGGTATACAGGCTTCGAATTTTTAATTATCTGAACCTTAGCTACAGAATATGTCATACCGTTTTGTCACTATTATTCTTATCATTATCATTATTACTACCAATAGTAGTTTGAACCTCATGTAGAATGTGAAGACCATTTACATTGGTCAATCCTCAGGGTCACTCTAAAGACCTGTAATTATACATGGATTCTCAACCCCGGAAGTCAGAGTGTGAAACAGACTTGTCCTAGATATAAATTACATCTGTAAAAATCTCAGAGTGTTTGATGTAAATAGTTCCAACGTTTCAGATGGAAGTCTGGTTCGAGCCTCTTTAGGGAAATGATAAAAAATCATATGATCATAGGTATGTATATAACAATATACTCGATGCCAAATGTTTGCGATGCTATCCGGTCGAAGCTTGACCAGGATTCATATAAGCCCTGTTTCGACTGTCTCCTAAGGTTATTGAATCAAGAGCAGCATTCTACACCAATAGATGTCAGTTGGGTTCGAGTCTCAGGTGGGACATCAGGACTAGACAACATGAAATTGGTTGCTCTCCCATGCTCAAAACGATGTGTGTGAGTCATTCCTACAGAAAATCGGTCGCCTAGTGGCAACGTCGCCGACTACAACACTGGGTGACGTGGGTTCGAGCCTCAGGCTGGACAAGGATGTAGATACGCTTTGTTGACGAGTGCCAACAAACACGAAACCTAGGTCAAGCGTGGTTTCCTGCCCAATGTCACTTATTCTATTCCGATTCGAATTGTCTTTTTGACAAATCAGACCTTCACGCTTAATGATCGCTTAGTGTAACACCGAACTCAGCCTTATCGAGTACGTGTGTGAGTTTCATTTAGGTTAAAGAGTCAATAAAATAAACTAAAGTATTTGTTAGATATAAACTACATTTAGTAATAAAGTTTCAGCATGTTCATCTGAAGTCAAATAATTATAAAAAGTGTTCAGTTCAAAGTTGATAAAAGTTTATAAAAGGTATTTATTGATAATATATTTGATAACTTTCAGTTAAGTATGCATGGTTATTGATGAAACCATATGAGACAGCTGTGACCTACCAGACTTTTGTTACTGATAAGACATGGTGATAGAAGACAAAATTGAAACCTCAATCATGGTGAGATTCGAACCAGTGAGCTCTGGATTACCGGTGAGGTGTTCTGTCAACTTAACTACTACACTCAGCTCCTCAACACGTCCTAACTTCACTTCTAGTACCTACGATCATCACCCCTCTCCAACTATAGCTATCTTAAACAGTCCTATCTATCATTATTACGATTCTCCTGCCTTCTAATTCAGCTTCACTTGGACTGAAACGAGAAGACTCGGTTAGGAAGCCAGTGTGATAACGATGCATGGATGTATATACCTCGTCTATTCCAGCAACATTCTGACAGAAAGCCCTTTGTGAATAAGGTGGGTTTAAGAGGTGATTAGCAGTTGAATCTCTCCGCTCAGTTGGTAGTACACCAAGCCGACTATCCAAAGGACATTGACACAAATCCTGCCATAACCCAAGTTTCCATATTACCTTCAACCATCATCAAGTAACTCATGGTAACTAATTAGAAAAAAGGTAGTACTAAGATTTATATCTTATACTGAAAGTTACTATATGTACGTACATGTTTCCTCCTTGAATTCAGCAAAGGTATATATTTTTAAACAATAATGATGTAGTTATGCAATCAGTTAGCTATTCATTCCTGCCAGCTAACCACACGACTATGTCCACAATAAATATGGTAAGCTAATTGTATTTCTTCACAGAGCATATGAGATTTGATAAGTTAAAAAACCAAATCTGTTAACGGTTCAGTTACCAAACTGATATCTCACTTTATTACATGAATACTTCTCAGCTGCATCCATACAGTGAATAATCTTAAGTTGTACATAAAAATCATTGCTAATCTATATAATAGGCAGGAGAATTAGTTGTACAGAGAGAGGAGTAAGAAAGGAACAATTAATGTTGGCTAACAGTTAGTCACTATGACAATGAAGGATTGACTACACTGGCCTTTTGTATTCAGAGGTCAGATTCAAAGCGTTTTATTGGAATTGCTTCCGTGAAGAGCAGTAGTCCAGAGGTTTTCTGCACGTTCATTGTTTGAAAAGCACTTGTTAAAATCTTACCTCCCTTCAGGAAAAGATTCTTGGGGATGTGCTTAGCGAATTAAATGGATACTCTTCTCTCACCCCTTCCAATGTACTTGCTACCGTAACTGCATATGAATTTATAAATGCAGTTGGAGATGACATAAGCTAAGCATTTATCCAATTTGAACTGGTTCAGTGAGTATACGGTATCATACACTGAAACAAACCTGGCTCCAGGAAAGCTTTTGATAGGAAGCGGCCTAAATCGAAATTAGCATTCTAAGTCTTAAGCCACTAAGGTAGAAGTTTTGAACTTCAACCTTGTTTGATATTACTGTGTGTGCAGGGGAAATCTTATTGGACAACTTTGTCCTTCAGTTGACCAATGAAAATTAGTGTCCAACTTCTGACCCACTGGCTTTATTTTCTGAGGAAAAAAACTGTATAAATGATATTTTTTTTCTCAAATGAAGTTATCTTCCTTCCAGTCATACGCGAATCTTTGTCTTCTGATTTTTGCGGCTCAGTGAAGAAGCAGGTTCTGAGGGATAACATTCACTGTTAGTACTCAGTTCAAGTATGTCATTGTGTTAGCAACGTCTCTCGTATCTCGTATTTTTCTGTCAGTCACTTCCACTTGATTACTTCAGATTCCTTTTAGTACTCCTTTGATTCTCGTGCCTATTGGTCTGCTGTTACGTAATCTGCTAGGCAGTATCAATTGTTCCTTTCTTACTCCTCTGTACAATTCTCCTAGTGTATACAACACCAATGATTTTCTTGTATAACTTAAAATTATTGGTCTCCTAATTATAAATTATCTTATATGCTAATTACCATTGTACTCCTAGATTGTATGGATCCAGCTGAGGAGAATTCGTGAAGTAAAATGATGCCATTTTATTTTGTAAATCTAGTCCTTCTCGCTTTGTCCAATGTTATCAAGTGGTCGAAATACATGAACAAGAACATATGAAAGATGTAACGTTTTTCAACTATAATTACCAGTTAAAGATAAGGTAAGTGTGCAATTTGAATAAACACTTAGAAAAGACTGTTCAACTTCATAATTACATGTTATTATTGCTCTTATACAAAATGCATTTGGACTATGCTCTCAACTTGGTTTTAACCATTTTTAGGCAATTAATTTCTGAACCATCAAGTAGCTTAGCTTAGAAGCTAAGCCAGGAATGCTTAGTAGTAAATTAACAGGGGTTGATCAATTCGATCCAGTATAAAAACGCGAAATTACAAGTAACAATAAACAATAACTGAAGTCTATTGTACAAGAGGTGACTGTCGTAAAACTTAGTGCCTCAGTAACTGAGTGAATAACACTTTAAAGTATTAAACAACGGCGACTGAGTTTGAGCCTCAGTGGGAACACCATTACTCACTGGGATGCAGATAATATCAAGCTGATAAGTGCCAAACAGAGCGAAAAGTACATCTTGAACTACACTGATGGCCACCAAGCAGACTACAATACAATGAATATCCATGGAGTATATCTGGGTATCCACATAAGAGCTCATTTGCCAATCAATAAATTTAACAGTAGACTTTTAGACACTACAGCATAGAAACTAATCTAACTGATTCATTTCTTTCTAGTTGTTATTCACTATGAAATGATATTGTTTAAAGAAACAGGAAGAACCTGGAAGGATTGAACAACTGTTTTGTCCTAATCCAGGACTTCCTAACTGTGCACATCCATGGCCTTACCTCGCCAACAGTCGAGCCCAGAACTTCACTGAAAGAACCCGGAAAGTGTAGGTTAATGAGTTCCGATCCAGTGACCGAATAGTAACAGTCTGGGCTACAAAACCTTAAGATACTGGGTCCAATCCCTGATGTAGTGAGGTCATTGGTGCTCACTGCTGCAGACTCCCATATTTCGACGAAACACCCATCCAGTGCTCCAAACTTTTTAATAATTCTCAAACTGAAATCGATAAATAAATTCACATAAACCTTGAAACTGATTCACCTTTATTTTATGCATAAATTCTATTCAGTTAGTTATTAGCTAAAAGAAAAAGAAACTTATATTGGTTGATAAAAAGTAGTAGAACTTTTGAAAAGTGATTAGTTGACTTACTTTTCCTATAGGCTTCTTTGATTTCATTAATTTGTTCATTAGTTCGAGAGCATAATATTTCAATGAGAACATCTTCATCTGTACCAGCGCCTTTCATTGCTTTAAACAATTCACTTGCATCAAATTCAGCTGGTGATAAACACAATGCTGCCATACAATCATAAAAGTGTCCACTTAATTCAGATTTAAATTTTGATATTAAATCTTTTCCAAATAATACTTTATATTTTTTAGTGATTAGTAAACGTTGATTTGAACTTCTATGGGCCATAACTGAAATTAATTCCTTTTCATTTGTACCTAATCCAGCCATTGCTTTCCTTAAGCGTTCACAATCTTCTTCTGCATTAAAGTTGACAGCATCTTTAACTGTTGGTTCAAACTAGAAAGGTGGATTAATTTAAGAAATGATTGATAATAGATATTATGGCTAGTATCAGTGATATTCTAAATAAGAACAACCAAAAATGTTGACTTTTATTGAAAACAACAATCTTTGTGTAGGTGATCAAGATCCAAGAATACAAGATCAGACAATGAAAGAAAGAATTCGACCAGTGCTTACTTGAATAACATCTCTGACCACAGTAAAGTGTGGTGTAAGTTCGAATCCCAGGTGAGATATCAGTTTAATCAAGTTTGTTATAAAGCAGGAAACCTAGGTCAGCAGCTTTCTATCCAGTGCCTTAATCCAAATAACACCTATCAAAGTGCTTTGTGATGTTGAGTCAACTAGCCTGGTAGACAAATTGCATAAGTGATGAATAGAATTTGATCAGCGGCAATGTATCTAATCCAGTCCTATATGAGGTCAGTCATGGCTTGAATAACTCAATAGTAACCTCTCTGATTGCAACAATAGATGACGTGGGTTCGAATCTCAGGCGGTTTCAGATACGCCTTGCTGATGAGTGTCATCAACCATGAAACTTAGGTGAAGCAGAGCTTTCTTCTAATCGCCTCCACTCAACTAACATCCATATCAGTGCAACATGATGAATAGAATCTCATCGGCTCATAGGACTAGACAACATGAAGTTGGTTACCCTCTTCGAGTGACCAATCAATGTACACTTTCTTAAAATATAATTAAAATATACATTAATCATTTATCTGGTAATCTTCATCTTTAACATATACATGTAGAAGTATCATATTTCATTGAAATATAAGCATCAGTTTGCTTTCGTCGTCTTCTTCTTCTTCTTCTTCAAAACACAGTATCATGTATTCAAAAAATAATGTTTGTACACTATTGTAACAATTCAAAATAATCTAACATCTACATACATTAGTATACATATTTGAAAATTGTTTACTTTTACAGAAATCGAAAGTATCCAATGGAAAAGAAATAGTATATAAACAAAACTAAGCAAATATACTAGTTGTATCAAATTTCGACAGTTAAAATACTTCATCATTAGACTAAGCGAAGTAAATACCAATGAAGTCAGTAGTCCTGAAGATGAAAGAATTTTAAGAAAAATGAAACAGTTATTATGAATTGGATGATGAACAGGTGATGAGTTGCGGGTTCGAACCCACGTCAACTTATAGTTAAGCAATATCATGAGTTGTTACATGATATGTATTACTTTGTAATGTAGTAATCAAATCTATGAGGCTTCTCTGAGTTCATTTGAGTCATTGATTTATCTTATAAATCCTCCTGACGAGTGTGCTCAGAAAGCTTGATTACCATATATTATTATAATATTATTTTTCCCTTGGGTTTCTAGTGGAACACAGGGCTTCAGTAGCACCTCTCCAGTGAACTCTGTTCTCTCCAGTCTTCAAAACCTGGCTCCACAACTGCCCATAAGCTTTCATTTCTTCCTCACACTATCATATCACCCTCAGCTGGGACGCCCAACTCGTCGTTTCCCCTTTGGATTCCACTTGAGTGCCTGCACTGGCCTGACGCGTGATGTCCCCAGTCGGCCTTCTCAGTGTATGCCCAACACAATCCATCTCCACTTCCTTCCAGTGCATATTTGTTAGGTGATAGGTTCTTGATTGGTTCGTTGCCAGGCCAGAGTTTCTTGCTGCTTATTCTTACTATTCTGGCTATCTGATCTGATCTTCACTATCGAGTGAGCGAGTGTAAGCGGCAGCTGTTGATGAATGTCTGTAATTTGTTGGAAATGCTTTTCGTGACGCGCCAAGCTTCTGAACCATAAAGCAGCACTGACTTGACCGACTTAGTATTGAAAATCCGGATCTTGTTCTTTGTGCTGAGTGCAGTAGATCTCCACAGTAATTTCAGATTGATGAAAGCCTGTCTTGCTTTTCCAATCCTGGTTTTGACATCCTTGTCTGTGCCGCCACCTGTAGTTGAAACGATGCTGCCTAATGATTACCATATAAAAAGGTTAAATTTCTATTTGAAGGCAATGCTGTTGTTCTGATCACTAGAACGAATTCAGGGAAATTGAAAACGGAACCATACAGAAAACAAACTCATACACATCAAATCCTCAACTACAGTAGCAACAGTATAGAAACGTTCTTCAAAAGAGGTAAGGTATGCCGTGGAACAGCCTTGCGGAGCAGAGAAGAAAACTATTGTAATGATACTTGTGATTTCCCGTTGCTAAACAGGCCCGAACCGCTCTACCACTGTTGGCAGATGGACTGCTATGCGAATGCCTCGATACTGCCTGATATTCGTGATGTTATATTGATCTTGGTCACTAACAAAGGAATCTAGAACGCTCGTTTCATCCTGTTCGGGACGCGTCAGCTGGATACACCTGCACTGTATTGTGGAGTGGTGCTGTTCCCACTGAGGATCAAACCCGGTGCCCTTCACTCCAAACGACAGAGCGCTATCCACTAAGCAACTGCTGCAAAATAGCCACCTCTTGTACAACGGGTATTAGTTGCTGCAATGATACTTGTTACTTCCCATTGCTATACAAGGTGCAGACATGTTCAGCTGACGAGTCCCAAATAGGACGAAACGTGAGTCCTGGATTCCTCTGCTAGTCACCAAGACCAATATAAGAAAACTATTTTATGACTTTTTCAGAAGAATGGCTGACTATGCAACTTTATCAAAAGATGTCTGCTTATTTCGACGTCAACCAAGAAGTCATCCTCAGAAACCAAAAAACGGATTGTCCTACCCCATATGAAGAACGTTTCCGAGATCACAACTAGATAATTGAAGCCTTTCGGAATCGCTGTATTTCACAAGCCACAATATCGCTTCACTCTGTTATGTAGACCAAAAGATACAAGGATAGCAAACCAAGCATTATCTACAAAATAAACTGCAGAAACTGTGAAAAACACTACACCGAACAGAGTGATCGCCCTCTTTGTATCCGTCAACATGAATATCAACCAGTAGTGAAGCGTCACGATATCTTCGCTGATATCAATACGTACAGATAACTGTGAACATGAATTTGACTAGGAAAATGTGACAATCCTGGAGAGAGGAAATACAAAGAATCCTAGAGAATTTTTAGAAGCTAAGTAATCAAGTCAGTCACCAATCAACAGGTATACTGACACTGACCCAATCTATCAACCAATAAGAAACAACAAGAAGGTCAAATTTCAGGTCATCAAGACAACCAATCAAAATAAACATAGAGACAGTAGCAAGACTTTGACAGAAACAGCCAGTCACACACAAGCCATCAGGACAAGCTACTAAGTAAATTGTGGAGAAAACACCGTAGCTCACTTCTTGTTGAATTTCATGCTGATGATATTGTCTAGAATGAGAACGATAGTTCCACGATTAAACCATCCAGCACAGAGGATATAATACCATCAAAATCCTCTTCCTGAGGTATAGATATCCTTCATCAGTTGATAAAGTCGCCTAGTCTGTTGATGAAACATCCAAGAATACATTTCAAAGCTTGGAGAACATCAAACAATTATCGTTGTCATCTTGAGTTGCAAATCTTCTCTACCATCTCAGAAGGTAAAATTGCTTCTAGTTATTTTTTACAACCAAGATAAATAATATATGTGTACGAAAAATCAAAATGTTACCTATGCAATAAAGAAATGCACACGTTACAATAAACAGTCTTTCAAGGCTCATTTAAATGATCAGCTTTTGAAATTGATCGTGAATGAGGTTAATCTGGACTTAAACCAACTGATAAGTCTACCAGTGAACCTGATTCAATTAACCTACAATTAAGTTAATATAGTGTGATATATGCTTTTATACATGTGCTTTTATTCACGAAAGACAGTTCTTTTTTTGAAAAATCGTTCCGATTTCTAATATCTGTGTTTCAGAGGGTTCAAACCCAAAACCCGGTATCCTTGAGTAATTGTCAGTGGTTCACTTTAGATAACAGTGAACTGATCAGTAGATGTTTTATAATTCAAAAATGTTATTTGAGTGAACAAAAAATATTCTTCTCGATAACTTCTTATCCTTTCTGAGGTTCTACAGTCATCTGTACATACTGTGGAACTAAGCGTCAACATTATTGAGAATTCGCTTGACATTGTCCTAATAATACTATGCAGTTGACGAAGTCAATTCAGTAAAGTCTTGTGTAAGTGTTATTGGTGGAATCAATTGTCACTGGGATTCAATTTAAAGAAAATCACATTCTAAACGGTTGTACGGCTTATATAATAGGAGGGTGTTTATGAAAACTAGATAAAATAAACTAAGAAAGATAATTTAAGGAATAATGAATAGCATGATAGAACACTACTCATTTTGAGGGAGTGAATAGGTTAAGAAAATGTGGTGAAATCATTTCGGATTATTGAAATGAAGAGGGTATCTACGGTGTGGAGTTAGATTACCTGGGGTAGGATACTAAGAAATTTGTGCTTCCGGAATCAGGGGTCGGTAATTGCAACGGCTACACTTGCTTCTTTCAAATACATGACTCAGATCATTTGATACTGATTGCTGCTGTCTTTCCAATTTGAAGTATTCAGAGGTGGGTACCTTTAGGCAAGTTGATGGGAAGACGGTACAGAATGGAGAACGACTCATTCATATCCATTCTATGGTTCGTTGGAGCTAAGTGTGCTAATGTGGAGCTGGTAATGATCTTTACCACGTCTTTAATTATCAGTAGTGAGGGATGTTGACGAGTGGAGGAAATTAAACTCCTAGAGCATTTGGGCCAACTTCAGTGCCTCGACAGGGTTATTTGAACTGATAAACACAGGAGGAAGTGGCCAATCTGAGCAATTGGTCTTTCAAACTCAGTCTCATCTTTGGGCGTATGGAAAACGTAATTTGTAATTTGCCAAGAATAAGAGTTCTGTGAATTGGTGAGGGTAATTTTGTGGATTAATATCTCACTGAGCACGTCACCTCTAAATTGTATTCGAACGTACAGTGGTATAACCGCAGGTACCATCAAGGACTTTCAACAG